TGAGCGTTGGCACGGGCCTCTCGGTGGTGGGGTCGGAGCAGTTGAGCGGGTATTTGAGCTCGATGACGGTGCCGTCCTTGTCCTGCAGGATGCCGCTGTCGGCCGTGTAGTACTCCACCAGTTCGGACAGCGTGGCAAACTTCTCCCCGCCGTAGAGGTCGTAGTAGTCCCCCGTGTTTTGGATGCGGATGTGGGTCACCTGCTCGCCCACCCTGACCATCAAACAACAAGTCCTTTTTTTTTTTTTCAATATTTGAAAAAAATAATCTGTTAAAAACTGTTTTGCTTGCTGGTGTCTCTTGATTTGTATGTCGTGCTGCGAATTTGTGAGCAAACGGAGAGAGCAAATTTCTATTGTGAAATATTTATTTGACACTTTTTAGGTCATGAAAATGATAATATATTCAGAGGAATGGCCTTTAAAAAGCTTTGATGCAAAAAAAATAAAATAAAATAAAAAAATCCGTGTATTTTGGATCAAAATAACATGCTTCAACTTAGAATGCTTCAATTTGAACAATATTTAAGACATAAAAATTAACATTTTTACAGTGTATTAATACTGTTCCCAATACGCATGCCCCGGCGGCCCAAACAAACGTTCATGTTTCTGTAACAATTATTTTGTTGTATAAAGATGCTTTAAAAAAAGTGCTGAACTAAAAATTGGTGGTGGCCATAATTTTTCAAATGTCTTCTGAAATAACGATAAAAAAATCGCTTCAATGGTAAAAAAGCCTCATACTTGAATGGTTAAAAAGTCGAGCTAAATGGAAAGTGTCGGCATTAAAGCAGCCGCAACATGATGCTGCACGCTGTTGTTTCGATGAAGTGGTCTGATAAATTTGTTTAACGTGATACACACCTACTCACATTTTGTTTTTGTTTTAATTATGCATGATGACAGTTTGGGCATATTGGACAGTTATGGGCAAGTCACATAGCTTGTGCTCAAGGGCAACTTTGCATAGCTAATCACCTGCTCATTTGTAATCACAACTCAGTCATTTTCATATTTTCTGTTCACAGCGCTGCCCCCCCCACCACACACACACACACACGCAAAAAAAAAAAAAATCAAAGTTAATGATAAAAAAATAGCAAAGGCGTTTTACGGAATGAAACGTGATGATGATAAAGTTCGCCCCACACAGCCAAAGTGTCAGCCTATAAAATAGAATAACACACAAGCGGCAACAATTGCACTCGCTCTCAAATCCATGACGGTTGCGCGACACGAAAGGGGTTCACAAAAAGGCAATTTTAGGATTTTTTTTTGAAGGGGAGGGAGCATCCCTATCGAGCGGCATTGTTACCTGACAGATAGAGAGAAGTCGCCCACGTTCTTTTTGCTGGGTCGGGCCAGAAAGCTGCCGGCGATGCCCTGAGTCTTCAGCAAGTCTTCGGCCTGCAGGCCTGTGATGTCTCTGTGGAACCACCTGCGCGCTCGCGGGCACGCACGCACGCACGCACGCACGCACGCGCGCGCACACACACACACACACACACACACACACACACACA